ACTGGAATAAGTTAAGTTTCACATATCTTTGTGTGTTTTCTCATTGATTTAATGCAGTCAGGATTTTACACAAAGAGGAGCCAGGCCTGAATAAAAGGAATTTTTTGTCCACCTGCAAGGTTCTTTGTTGTACATGTTAATGATCTTTGCTTTGTGTATATGTAGGTGCCATAAAATACCAGTTCCATGAAAGCAGCATGAAATCCTTTCCATGTGATCAAAGCAATGAATATCAGTTATCCCAGTTAGAGCAAAATATATAGGGAAATACTATTTCATGTTTCATTTCAGGTAACTTTGCAGCAACCAAACCTTGGTATTATTTGCCTTCATCAACATGATCTAACTTTGTAGCTACTCCTGCTTTGAGAAGGAGTGTTGGCCTAGAGGTCAGGAAAGGACTCCAAAGGTCCCTTCCAACCTAAATTATACAGAGATTCTGTTTACAAATCTTCATCTCCACTACCATTACACAAAAACATAACTGCCCACAAATATGTAAACCATCTGTTCTATTTCTCTTATTTCTGTTAGAATTAACGCATCCTTAATTATAATAGTGTTCTTTACAAGCATCTTCACATTCCAGATGTACTCACTAACAGGTGTTTTGGTTCGGGTGTCATTAGGCAATGACTCACTGTGTGTTGTCTGATGATGATGTTTAAAATGGGGGAATACTGCTTGAGGATCTTTGGAATTGGAAATATGTTTGCTGAGCTCTTCCCCTTCCAATTTAGACTGGTTCATTCTGCCGAGTGATGATGCATTAGATGACAATGTGGAAAACAATATGCCAAAGGAGGTAATTCCTTTTTTATTGTATCTGTTTTGACATTCCATCCTAGCAATTATTTTTAATGTTTAGATTCAGATTCATTATTTGTAGTCATATTAATAGCAAAGTTGTCATTCACTTCAGGTTTACCTTATTTGTTCAGCAGTTACATTATATTTCATGTATTTATTTACAACCAGGTTCCATGTATTTATCTACAACCAAGTTCATCACAGTAGCAGAGCCTCGTTTGCCTGTAGAACTACTGTCTACGCAGATTTTACAATGTATCTTGCTGCATCTGGTAGTCTGGTATCTACATCAGCAGTTTGCTAGGAGGTGTGAATGGGAAGATACTCTAAATAGCGAGTTACCTCACTTTATAACTTACTGTGTTTTATTCTCTACTTAGCATCTTGTATCTAGACCAAGCAAAAGACTTGGGCACTTGATGGTGTTCAATTCTCAGCCTGTGGAGTGGAATCCATATGCCTGAGTCAGGTGCCTATGTTCCTTATACTATACATGAGAGAATAATGCAAAAGTAAATGTTTAATTTGTTTGGTAGTTGTCACGAGCAGTCAACAGAATGCTGATTACACAATCTAGCTGTCCAGTGGTATGCTTCAAGAGCTGTAGCAGTAGAGGTTAAGTAAGACCTCAGGAGGTAAGCACAGGCAACGTCAAGAGTGGGTCACATCCTCAGTACATACACGCTCTCGGTATTATTGCTAATAGCAGTGCTGGCAGGCTTTTTCCTGCTTGTGAGAAAAAATGAGCGGGAGAAGTTGTGCCAGTGGATGTTTCTGGGCCATTTTCTTTTCAAGACAAGCTGGCATTATCTTTAGCAATGCTGCTACGATGATCAGTCAAACCCTTCAGTGCTACCAAAATGACCCTTTCCTATAGAAGGGCTCTGAGGAACTCATAGGTGGAAAGGGCAAAGAATAAGCATGTGCTTCTCTTTGATTTCTGATTTCTGAAAGTTTGTAAATCTTGTAACCAGGGCAAATACTTTTTTTTTTTTTTCCAGTGGTGCTGGCACCTCACAGCAGCTCCACTAATCAATGCATCCTCATCAGACTGGTTTCAAGGCACCTGTAACAGCATTAAGGGGGTTCCTTGCAGAAATCCATAGAGAAGCCTGTGGCAATGAGCAGTGCTTGGGGGTGGATGCCTTTGTAATTGTGGGATCAGTTCTGGGCAGGTCTCCATGGAAGTGTCCTTCTCCATCCAGAAGTTTCTGCCATTCCAGGCCTGCAAGACAGTCATTTCCACACCATCCACACCAGTTAGATTGTTGTGAGAGCACAGGGAATAATTCTGGAGGAACTCCTCCCCTTCCACCACCTCTGCCTTAGCATGCCCTTCAGAGGTGCTGCCCAGTACCTGCACCCAAGGCAAGTGTAAGCTGCCTATATTTAGGAGCGTGAGGAATCTGGTCACCTGAGAGCCAAAACCCCATATGCTGTGTGCCGTCTTTCCGGATGCTTTGGGGTCGACCATCCCAAATGTGATATTTACTCCAGGTTTACAGCAGTTTACCCGGTTTTTGAATTAATGTGTCACAAAACTCCTTGCAGAGCACAGGGAAAGTTTCACTGTCTATGTCCCAAACCACAGAAGTGCTACAGCTAAACTTTTTGCTTGTAGAGCGTTATCCAAAAAAGTCTTTTTTTCCTAATTATTTGTAATAGGGCTCATGTTCAGAATGTTATATTTTATCAAAAAGAGGTGATCATGACAAGCTTATTTAAACTGGAAAAAAAATAAAACAAGCTCTTCAGACTTCTCATCTTTCAGGTGACTGAAAAAATACTAGAACTCCCCAAATCACACGGTTGAATCAGCAACATACAAATTCATTAAAATACCAGCCTTTGGGTAAAACCCACAAAAAGTCAGTAATAACTGTAGTTAGCTCTTCAACGCCTTACGACTCCTTCAGCAGCAGTGGCCACTGCGTGACATCTGGTGGCCAGAAGCCAGCATAGCAAGGACATCACACTGCGGAAATTGCAGCGTGTGCCATCCACATCAGGTAAAAACACACTTTATCAGTTTTCTGTCAAACGTTACCTGCCAAAATACTAGCTTTAGTACATGTGCTACAGTTGTACCTCTTGCCACAGAAGAACCCAGCTTTGACATGTGCTAGCGTGTGACATGTACCAGCAAGGAAGCTATGACGCAGAGCTCCCTTGGAATTACAATATATTCCCCCCACACACCTCCAAAGTGCTGCCCTCCCTGTTAGCTCCTACAGTTGTAGGACATCGAGATGGAGATTTGCAGAGTGGCCAGAACTGCAGGAGTGCAGTGTGCCCAGGTGGCCAAGTGGGCCAACAGCATCCTGGCTGGTACCAGGAAGAGTGTGGCCAGCAGGAGCAGGGAAGTGATCGCCCCTCTGTACTCGGCAGTGGTGTAGGCCGCACCTCGAATACTGTGTTCAGTTTTGGGCCCCTCACTACAAGAAGGACATTGAGGCACTGGAGCGTGTCCAGAGGAGAGCAGCAAAGCTGGTGGGGGGTCTGGAGCACAAGTCTGAGGAGGAGCGGCTGAGGGAGCCGGGGTTGTTCAGCCTGGAGAAGAGGAGGCTGAGGGGAGACCTTATCGCCCTCTACAGCTGCCTGGCAGGAGGGGGTAGTGAGGTGGGGGTCGGCCTCTTCTCCCAAGTCACAAGCAATAGGGCAAGGGGAAATGGCCTCAAGTTGCACCAAGGCAGGTTTGGGTTGGACATTAGGAAAAATTTCTTCACCAAAAGGGTTGTCAGGCATTGGAACGGGCTGGAACGGGCTGCCCAGGGAAGTGGTCGAGTCCCCATCCCTGGAGGTATTGGAAAGACGTGTGGATGAGGAGCTTAGGGACATGTATGGTTGGGCTTGATGGTCTTAACGGTCTTTTCCAACCAAATGATTCTATGACGCTATGTTCTAAAATGCAGAGATGGAACGCATGGTGCACCCATTGGGCCGGTGAGAACTGACCCAGAATGACGCTCTGGCACGTTAGAGCCGTCCCTGGTGGCAGCGCCTACTCCTCACCCTCCTGCGACCACGCTATAAGATCGCGGTGTCCAAACCCTACTACATAAAGAACCGGAAGGGAGAACAGCCGCGTAAGAGCGAGCGGAGAGCGTCAGTGGCGGGGCTGTGCCCAAAGCCCTCAGGGGAGCATTTAACCCCAGGAGCACCCAAAACTTCCAGCACTGAGCTGCGCTGGCAAAGCCCGGTCCGCATTCGGCTGAGAGACTCCGCTGACGCCTCAGGAGCGGTCCCGGTCCCGGTCCCGGTCCCGGACCCGGTCCCGGTCC